ACTGAATAACACCATAGTTGACAGATATTTAAATTCTAGCAAACAACTGGCCACAGTAATTTTAACTGACACTAAGCATCCACTTCATTCAGAGCTCTTTCCTTGTATCTCCTCTCAGAGAGGATAAGAAGCAATTACAACAAACTGTACGCTGGTACAGCTAAGTACAAGAATTTGACTGTACCTTACCTAGTGCGTATATTATGTGAGGAAAAACGTGTTGGAACAGAACTCATCTATCAACTTTGTAAAAGTTAACAATCTCATTTCGATAATTTAATTAACAATGTATAATTTCCTAATTTTATGAGAAGACTCCACTAATGTGATCAGCATCACAGTCGATACACCATGTGTTGTAGGTGTAGTTCAAATGGGTCAGCATAGAAACTGGCACAGAAGTGTATAAATTCAAGTTGCCACAATTCGCAGCAAAGTGAGAAAATGTGGACAGAAAAGGAATGACATGATAGTCGACAAAAGTGTATAGGGAAAGAGAATACAAATAAGTGTTTGTTGGAAATATCCACAAATTTTAACGTGACAACAAACATAGAAATCTGCGCCCTGGTGGTCAAGTTTCAGTCGAACAATCTACGTACTCAATCACTTCACTCCTTATCTTCAAACTAAGGGTTCCTACCGACCAATCATGAAGAGTCATCTTCACTTCACTGTAAGCAACTAATCATTCTGAATTTTCCTCAATCCCTTTTAGTGATCAGAGCATCAGAAAATGCAAGTTTGTTGGTTGATTCTTTTTCAGATGTGAATTTGATGTCGTCAAAATCACAGTTCATTAATTTTTAACTGTTTGTCAATTCGTTTCTCAAACGTGTCATCTACATATTTTCGGACCCGAAGTTTTGATTTGGTCAACGGTAATACCACAGTTTCCAATCTTTGCTTACTGCTCTTGCGATTAGCTCTGGAACAGGTGATTCCATTGGTGCTCTTTTTGTCTCTTTGTAGAGTTTACCGCTAAATTGCAAATCTGTTGTCAGGAGTAAAGAAACCAATTCTATCAACACTGTAGTCGTGTGTTTTCGGACAAGTGTGTATTATTGGCAAGGAGAAGAGTCATTGTAAACGTTGTTGATCAAACTGTGGGTGTTTTTTATATCATCCTTTTTAATGATGACCAAAGTGTCGTCCACATAGCGAATCTACATTTTTTGGTTTGACCATAGGTAGAATAGTGGCTTCCAGTCTCTGCATCACCGCTTCTGCTATTAATCCGGATATCGGTGATCCCATTGAAGTTCCTTTCATCTGTTTGTACATCTTGCCGTTGGATTGGAAGTATGTTGTCATACAAAGGTCGATGAGTTCCATCAGACTTGAACATTTGAGTTTTGTGCGTTCTGAAAGGTTTTTGTCTTCATTGATCAGGAGGGATATCGTTTCCTTGGCCAATTGAGGTTCGATAGATGTGTATAGTGCTGTGACATCGAAGGATATCATTAACTCGTCGTTTCCTATGTTAATACTTTTGATCTTTTCTAAGAATTCCGTTGGTGACTTGGTGGAATGTCCACATGATTGGACGAGGTGTTTCAGTTTTCTCGAAAGTTCTCTTGATATGTTATGTTGGAGTTCCCGGAAGTGAGACTATACGTCGTAGAGGGATATCGTTTTGTGTAGTTTTGGTCTGCCGTAGAATCGAGGAGGGATAGGTCCATTCGATTTCATACGCCACTTGTCTTACCTTGTTATTTCTTCCGCCTTGAAGAGTTTTTTCAAGGTTTTATTGATCTGGTTATCGAACTTTTGGATAGGGTTGGTTTCAAGTGGTTGATACACATTTTCGTCTTTGAGTAATTCCTCTGCCTTCTTGATATAGTCTTCTTTGTCCATGACTACTGTAGTGCGTCCTTTGTTTGATGAAAGTATAACGATATCTTTCCTATTTTTCAGTCTTTTTAATGTTTTCTATTCTTGAGTGTTCATTTGAGCATGATGTCTTTTCTGCCTGGTTAGTGGTACGATTGTTTGCCGTATTTCTTGTTGAGTGACCTCATTCAATCCTGATGTTTTAAGTGACGATTCTAATGCCACAAAGAATTCTGGTTTCGAGGCATCTCTTCTGTTGTAATTCAATCCTTTTTAAAGGAGAAGTTCTTCCATTTTCGTTAGTGCTTGTTTTGATAAGTTGGTAACGCAGTCGTTTGTTGTCCACCCTAAAGAAGAACGGTTACCCACGAAATTTTATCAGAAGGTGCCTATCCCGTGCATCATCAACTACAAAATCATCGACAGAAATCAACAAACTCATCGTCCTATCATACATAAAGAATGTATCAGAAATCACGACAAGATTGCTGAGACCACTTGGAATTGGTGTGGCTCATAAACCAACAAATTCCCTCCAAGCACTATTTTATGCAGACCAAAGGATGCAACAAGCAAAGAAGATAAACCCAATATCATTTACAAAATCAACTGCAATAACTGTAGTCAGCACTACATTGGACAAAGTGGCCGCCCTCTTCGCCTACGTCTACATGAGCACCAATTGGCTATTAAACGCCACGACATTTCGTCACTCATTTCAATACAGGTGGATAACAGTTATGAACATGAATTCAATTTCGACAATGTAGAAATTTTGGGCAGAGGAAACACAAAGAATGTCAGAGAATTCCTAGAAGCTTGACATTCAGGTTAGTCAGTAATTAACAGATGTAAAGACATAGACCCGATCTATCAACCAATAAGAAAAATGATAAAGGACAGAATGGTCAGAGGTCAAGCAGAGAAACAGCCAACAGGAAAGTCTATACAATCAATGACACAACAATCGAAGGAAACAACCAATCACAGACCACTTCGTCAGAGCAAGCCACTAAATCACTCATGGACAGATATTGACAGCTCACTTCATACTGAAGTTAGTGCTGATGATGTCGTCTAGCAAGACGATGAAAGCTTCACGATTAATTTAAGTCTAAAATTAATCATAAGGCTGATAATTAGATAAATGAAGTCCTAAATTGATGAGAACGGTAATTTCATAAGATTGATAGGAGTGTCAAATAAACTAAAACACGGTCTCAATTTACTGATGGCATAACAACTAATACAAAAATCGGAAAATTTGGGTAAGTAGGTACATGTTAACAGAATTACGTAATATTAGCTGAAGAGAGGAGAGTGTCCCTCGTTAATAAATTACGGAACATTGGGCAAAAACTGAAGTTGAACTTAAACTTACTCTGATGGTCAGGCTAATGGTACAGGTTGAATACGAGAGTCCAGTTCATAGAGTTGCATAGCAACGGCTTCTGGCATGTGTAGTTTAACTGATTTAGAACGTAGACCACGCCGAAGACTATGTGATATACGGCAAATGACTGTAAAAGCTTTGCTTGTTTTCACTTTATTACTAGTATTGTAGGGAACAAAAAGACTGAGACGGAAGAAGGAATGTTTATTATTGACATCTTATACAGTAATCATCAAATGTTGTACACTTTCCACTAAGACATTCATTTGCACAATGTGCTTCATTTCCCCTTCTGTTTCTATCTTGATTTGCTCTTAATACGCCCACATTATCTCTTGCATTTCTCTGGGCAGAATCTTAACCCATTGCTGGTAATTCTGTCTGATTTCTGTCACCCTCTCAACACATACCACTTATACTCATTCTGATCAACAGCGTCCACTACAGTACCCACCAAATATGGAACCATTCATTGTTTTTATCTGTCCCTTACTCAGCTACATTAGATGATGTTCGGATATTCCTCAATGAACTTTTTCCGCAATTATACTCTCTATACAACTGGCTTCACACAAAGAGACAAACCAATAAATCTACCTAGAACAGGTAGAATCAAAAAGTCTATCTTTATATCCTGAGCATATAACTGGCTGGCTATAGAGGATAGGATATAACGTTGCAGTGTACGACGTTCTCTGAAAAGTTCTTCTCAGACATCGCATTATAATCTCGCTAATGATATCGCCATTGAATTGAAGTTTGAAGAAAATAGGTTTCTTAGAGACTGTAGTCATCTTTGCTTTCCCTTATATACTTGGTCAAAAATTTGGCAGGATATCCATTCTTACTAAGCAGACTGTATAATATCAATTTCTCTACTGTGATACCGTCAGAGCAAATGACTTTTACATAATGAACCAAGCATCTTACCAGGTTTCGTTTATATCTGAGGGGTACAGAACTACACAAGTGAGTGTACTGGTTCGTCGATGTTGGCTTTCTGTATATTCCCCATTTTGTCGTACCATCTGGTCATCTAGAAAAGATAAAGTTATTTCCTTATTTTCCTATTGACACAGTGATTTCTGGATGAAAACCATTAAACTGATCAACAATAGTACTTTTATCAGCTTCAGAAGGCATAGTAACAAACAAATTATTGTCACTTAAAAATGCAGATAATTTTAAAGGCCACCCTAGCAACTGATGAGACGGCCAATTACACTTCTCTATTTTATAAAACCGTAATTTTCCAGGTGAAATACCACAGCCTGATTGGTCATTTCTGCAGTCTTTAGGGTGGCCTTTAAAGTCACTCAGAAATGCAGGGTTGCTTAGATTAGTGAGTATTGCAGAAGATGTCGTAGAAATTAAGTATAGGTGATGAAGTTTGAATGGCGACTTGAATAACATGATAAAATATTTAATGAATGATTTGTTATCAGGGTGAGTATAGAAACAAGGAATAGCTGATAATATTCAAGAGATGAATGGGATAAGAGTTAGAAAGTTGGGGGGGGGGGGGACATTTTGAAACGTTAAGGTTCGAGACCATGAAAGGAGCAAAGGTTGAGAAAGTCTCTTTGGTATCTTAAGCTTCAGCTTTCCTATTTGAATTGCTAAAGCTTCAGAAATACAAAGGAGGCTCATGTGCACTGACTTTGGCAAGTTTTGAACAAAGATAGATAGCTGTAAAGCTGATGCACTTTACAAGTACATCAGCCAGGTCATTTTTCTAATCACCAAGGGCGTAAAACATGAAAACTCACAAAATCCAGAAAGAATAAGCATATATTTGTGTATGTAATGGCAGCAGTGATCATATGGATGAGAGATACACATCTGAATCCTTTTTGTTTTACATCAAAATGATTGACTGACAACTTATAAAGTTAACTGTTTCATAGTCATTTTCTTCCTTCCATTCTTCCTCTTTTATAGTTAACGAACAGTTGAACCTGGTGGAACTTCACCGGGTACACAAATCCATTGGTTACCAGAGACAGAGCCCAACCGCCAATTACGCCATTGCACATATTGACCAACAGATGTCAACAAATCTGGACATAAATGTTCCCATAACTTTGTTTTAGGATTCAACAATTTATCAGGTCCCGTAAAAGATGTACAATTCGATTCGTTCAAAGATGAATGGAAGATAAAACGTTCACCTAATACAACTGATTCCTCTGGTGCATAGATAGGCTGAACTTTAAGAAGAGATGAAGATGTATCCATATACGAAGCACAAAGTAGCATAGCCTAGAAATATCACAAACAATATAATCATAATATTAAACCGTATTCTATGCAAAAAAGAGGTTCAACAATTATAGGAGAATATTTGTGGATAATTGCTTGAAAAAGAGACTCTGTGGTCAACAAGCCTAGAACAATTTGGCCCCTCTGTGGGTAAAAGTAGTCCCAATACACAAACCATCGGTAAGCTTCGTTTCAAAACGAGAGGAAATCATATCAAAATGCACTTGGCAGCCAAGTGTACGTTCATATGATAGATAATAATCCACATCGATTGTTTGAAGGTTAATCAAACTACTTAACTACACAGACCTCGGTAGATAGAGTGCGATTCAAACCCGTAAACTACTACTGGTTGAAAGTCGTGTTTCCAGACCAATGAGTCACAACTTCGCAAAGCGAATGGAACTATTTACGTCATTTTGATCTAGTAAAAAAAAACCCACCAGATTGATGTCAATGATTTCTAATTACTCTTGTTATTCAGTATTACAAATGGCTAGCTCATGACATTTATGTGCTACAAATCAATTCTGAGAAATACTAAATTGGACTATTCAGTCCAAAAAATAAACAAAATAATCCCATGAAGAAGTTTTGTAGGTACGAATAAGTTTGACAGAAGTTTTTAGCGCAGACAACGAGTGATAAACCGAGAGCACAAGACAACGATTTCATTTAGGTTTGGAACCCCCCAGAAAAGCTCAACAATAACCTCCATGGGGTGCCGAGCTTACGATGGTGAGGTTTCACAGTGAGCATACTACCAACAAACCACATTAAGTTAAAAACCAATTCTGTCAATTTGCAATACAGTGAGATCCCTATAACCGATGTCGTAAAATACACTGCAAATGTTTTTAAGGTAATCTATCCTTCATGTTCAAGTGGATTTGTGAGTAGTGATGTCTTAGCCAATTACACAATGATACACTTTAGCCTACGAGATGTTTGGACAGTTTGGGAGCTAACTGTTCACAAATCGAATAGTCCGTATAAAATACACTTCTCGTAAACTGGAGAAAACGACTGATAAGCATTCTGACTGTAGCATCATGAGAGTTAAAAATTCAATCAAGAGGAAGAGTATCGTAACAGTTCAGTTACAGAACATCGTTACTCAGTGGATGGATACTACACATATTACAAGTTAGTAGGTCAGTCTAGATATTACGCTAGATAGTAATCTGGGTTTATAAGGTATGTAGTTTAACGAACACAGAATCCATCCACTGTATAATTTATGCATCCCACTAATAATCGGTTACGTGATACTCCTTAAACATTTCTTATGCTATTCAATATCATATTTAATCAATTCAGTCTATTTAGTGTACAAATGAAACTACAGCATAAAGGCAGGGCAAGAAAGAATGATACAAAGTGATGAGATTTTACCTGAGATTCAATCCCTCGAATTTTCACCGGTTTCAAATTGATAACAAATATACCATGAAGGCCAAGAAGCTTTTCCATAGGATACAGGCCAACTAAACCGCTAACAACTGTTCTTTTACCAATTTCCGAACCAAAGTCAACTTCTTCTACGAACAAACTGTCTGCATTTGGATGCTTTATTATGATGATACATATGAGAGAGAAAGAAGTATATTGTTGATTTAAAAGAGTGTAATTGACGAAACTATGAAAATGAATCATCCCTCCTTCATTCCCTTGTGATTTACAATAATACACTATAAATATACTGTTGCGATATATAAAAACTGCTCTGAGTAGAAAACTTTCCGATAGGAGTGACAAACTGATGTGACTGAGTCAGAGTAGGACGTGGTTTCTAATATGAAACGAAACCAATAATAAGGCAGAGATTACTTGGACTGGATACAAGTAATGCGACTGTTCACCCTCACACCTGATACGTTACTGAGCCGTGAAAATCAAAAGACGGGCCTGTAATTGACTTAAGGAAGATGACTTTATTTGACAAAAAACAAAGTATTTGTATACAGCTTCTACTCAGAAAATGAAGTCACTAAATCACCAATCAGCTGAAGGACAAAATTGTTCAGTAAAATTAATTTGACCATACATGAACATAAATTAAGATCTTAAACGAAAATGTTTCTACCCCAACGGCGAATGACGATTTCCATTTTTGGCCACTGCCTAACACAAACATATCCACAACTAACATATTCTAGAAATAAATAAAATGCACTTTTCTATGCCTTCTCGTCAAGCTGGCTGATTGACTACTTCACTGTGTAAACTGCCACTAGCATTCTTTGAATCTGACAAATCACCTAGAGTCTTCCAGAAATGCAAACCTATCACAATCAACCTCATTTTCATTTAATATAATGTATAATCTTGGGATAAGGGTTCAAATCAAGTTACTTACTCCTTTCCTTACTTTTGTAACCAACGTCTCAAGACTAAAACAAGTCTTGAGAACATATCAATTACTAGACAGACAGATAGAACTTAGGAGCTGGAACAAAAGTTCATTACTTCAAGTTGTCATATCTTACAGCAAGATGCGAAGAAGTGAACAACAGAAGTGATATTAGGATAAACAAACAAAGGTGAAGGAGGAGACAATAAATTTTGAAGATGACAGATTGTGCATACACCTGAGCTGTTGTGACCAATCTGATCAATGGCACTTCACTTCAGTCTATATTCGCGAAAAAAGACTCTATAGTCCACTCTAACAACAACTGAAATAGCTAATTAGACGTCTTGGTTTCAAGAAAATCCGACTTTTTAGCCAAAACTAAATAAACTTAATTAGTTATTTCACTCGTTGCTAGGGTAGAACACCCAAGGACGACTTTGACTAGCTTACATGAACATTTTGAGGATTACGATGTACACACAAGCACAAGAAATAAGTTGGAAGAAGGATTTTTTTTCTTCAGATGAGTTAAGTTACTTGCTTCGTTTTCAAAAAGATTATCCTTATCCTCTGGACATCAATGTTTCACTTCCGTGGATGGTCAAATATCGGTTTCACAGCTTGTAAAATTGAATGAAAAAATCAACAAATTTTGCATCTTAAGTATAAACTGCTTACTTTACACCTTACATGAACCGAAAATAATAAAAATTTATTTGTTCTATCAGTTTATGGTATGTTAGCTGCCTATTTTATTATTATCATTTATTCGACTATTACACTGCGATCGCAATGTTTTGTGATTGCTCAACAATGCTGTTCCAGCATTTTCATAGTTATATGACAATTTCTATGATATAGTGCTCAAATCTGTTGCCATTTCCTATTCCTGAGTAGTTTTGAGTTTAATGCAACAAGTTTATTTGGTCCCCCACTCACTAATTACAACAGATGTATATCAAGTAACGCTGGGATTCGCACTCACTCACTCTTAGTACAGGTGCAAGTTGCATTGTTTCACCTCAACATACAAAGCAGCGCGATGAAAGATAGACATAATATATACTCACTATTCTAACTGATAAGACCAATCCGACGCGGATATCTAGACGATTTGGATTGAGTTCATCGACTGAATTTTGAGTAGGCAGTATTTCCTTTCCGTTTAAATTAGGAATACCTGAAGAATTAAAAACATATCACAACACATATGGTAACATATAAGAGGTAATATATAATAAACAAAGGTGTACTATAATATTGAACTGTATTACTGTAAACTTTACAACACGCTCTCAAAATAAAACCAGCTACAGGTGAAAATCTTTATAGCATCTATTGTGTTTCGTTGTATTTTTATCAGTTACTGATAGAGTATTGATAACTAGTTGGTGAAATGAATGACAATGAGTAAACAATTCACATCTACAAAAATCCATAATGCAGTAGAATTATCATTCCTACTTCATAATACAGCACTGCAACAGTCAGTCATATTACACTTTAAGTTCATCTACTAACCTCTAATGGATTTTGATCTTTACAATTTCAAAGCAGGTTAATCTATATTCATTTTTATTACTTTACTATTAACAGCTTGTAAACAATTGAAGAAAATGTAATGGAATATAATGTCTGCTGGAAAATTCATTCACACTGTTTTAACCAGAATATATTTTGAGTCAGTCTTGTTGATTTTTGAGAATTAGTGAATGTATCAAAACTAATTAGTGAAGAAGATAAAGAGGGATATAAAATGACTACCAATGAAAAAAGGTTGTGTACCACAATCAACTTATACTGATTACAAAATTCTGAAATGACTAAAAACAGAAACACCAGAAATTTGAACAGAACTAATAATAACATGACACTAGTCACCTACAGATTTGTGTATTGCACTATAATGCTACTACTATCTTTGTATGATGACTAGTGATACATCAACTTAGTTGACTCAACCATGGCAGTTGCGAAAGGAGTTCACTTCGTGACCTATTTGATTAGAGATTCAGTGGATATTCAAGTGAATCAGTGAATATATAAGACCTAAAAGAATATGTTTAATTTGTTATTAAACTAGACAATGACTTTCTATAGCTTACAGTGGTTTACATAAATATACAGATGAATCGTCTGAGATTAACCAACAGCACTTTCATAAGCATCATTTCTCATTGATGCTTACGAAAGAGATCATGAGATCGAAAACACAGTTTGTTATGAGACTAATTTACTTAGCTTATTAGTCGATATAAAAATGTTACAGTTATTTACGAATGAAATACAGCATGACATACACTAACTATGCTTTGCTGTTACTCTGGAAACTATTCAATTTAATAGAAGATAGAATCTTATACACCCACTTACTAGCGCATAACGAACACTTCAATACAACAGACAGATTCATACGATCTATCTGTTGACAGAGTAGTCAACGATTGGAAAACAGATAGTAAACTATTGTTATAATGTGGAGGGATTACTTCACTTGAATGATTACAGTTCATAAATGTTATAATAAACCAAAGGGAAAGGCAAATGAGAATCTCTGGTAGATAGTATCGGTTATACTTCTTTATTTCTTTCGAAAGATGCCTTACTTAAGACCAATAGTGTTACTGTATAGATCAGCCCAAGTTTTCGATTCTGAAATATCTGCATCTTAAGTGAAATCAGTTACTGTGCACTACTCTTTTTTTATGTATGAAATCAGTTATCTTATTTTTGTGAATTATGGTGAATTATTAGGGACAGACAGACAAAATCAACGTAGAACCTAGCACGCAAGTTCATTGGTTTCAGTTGCTACATTTCACAGTAGTATGCACAGAACAAATGGATAGAAGAAGACTGGTATCAAAGCAGACAACGGTGTATAGGAAGGAAAAGGAATTTAAAAATTAGGGTAGTCAAACGATCAAGCTTTAGAAGACATTAAAAAGTGAATACATCTGCGCTACTGGGACCAACTTTCAGCCGCTTCAGTCTTCAACCACTGATTCCTATGGTATGAGGGAACCAAGCCAGGTAGTTTACACAACCCCATACGGCTCAGATCAACAGTCAGAGACTTCATGCACTGACGTCATATTGTGGGCATATGCATGACTTAGATAGCAGATATACAAGGACAGCGAGGAATCATCCTGTTTCCCTTAAAGTAGAGTGAAAGTGGGAGAAAGACTGAAAGTTGAAAGATTGCATGTTCAATTTAGTGGGTGACTCTTTGGCGTGAGTAAACCGTGACAAGGCCAGCTATAATCAGATAGTGAGGTGTGCAGAAAGTGAAAAACAAATGGTAGTGATAAAGTATGTATCTTGCAATCAACCTTATCAATCACTTGATACCAAATTATAGCAGTTTATTTACCGTTATAAAAACAAACTATCAGCCAGTCAAATTATAATCTTCTGCATGGATGTTTGTGGAGTTGTGGTTCATTGATTTAGGCAGTTGACCTTTGACCAATGGGTAACGGCTTCAAACACCATCCCAACTATCGAGGTGTGGGGAGCCAGGTAGTATCATTTAGCCTTCACATGATAGGTGTGGGTCATTAGCAATTGCACAAGGTTGCTGAGAAGATTTAGTCAGAAGGTTTGCAGAAAGAAAGTTTTCTATCCAATAATTTCTCATACAATGCTTGTACCCAGGTAAAACATAAAACTACATGTAGTTGCTTATTTGTAACTTTACGTTACATAGAGAAGGCCCAACTGATAGCAACTACCTTGACGTGGTGGTCAGGCTTCCATACCACAATGGTCCAACGGGCTGTGCTGGTGAAATGCTTGTTTCCTCAAGGTTCTACCATGCCAAGAAGATCTGTTGGATAGTGGTAAGACAAAAAGCAGTTACCATTATTGTGTACGTTTTTACGCTATAACTGGGGTCTGCGGGTGAAGTCGTATGGCTGGTTGGACGGGTGTATGTATGAGGCGCTGTCTTTCCTATAGGAAGGAGGGGTAGAAAAGGTCAGCCCCAAAAATAGCACACACCTTTATCCCACGACATAACGGTGCCAGCGATATAGGTTCAGTCAGATTCGCAAAAAATAAATCAGGCTATCAAACTTTCAAAGAGGCGGTACGGGAGCAGGGTTGAAGATATGTCCCTTTAGGCTCTGTGGTCGACCAGTAACCCTCCTCTATCGGGTAGCTCGACAGGAAACAGCTCTCCCATGATGTGGGCAGCCCGGAAGTGTCCACCACCCCCACAATTCTGTCAGTACTCAAGTTCCCTCAGATTGCTGTTCCCTTTCCACATCCTTTAATCGGAATCTTCCTTCATGTCTCTCGCTCAATAATAATATACTATCTTTAATTTCTTCCACCTCTGAGGCTGTTGACAATGATGTGAGTTCACCGAAAAGCACACTTAAACTCCTGAAATCACGCTCCAAGTTACACATTGGAGCCTTCAATGTCCGAACCGTCAAACCAGACAACAAGCGTCGCTAGCCAAAACTCTAGCATCTCGGATTGTGGATGTATGTTGCGTTTGTGAGACATCCATAAACGACCCAAGTGTGGTTATTCACTTAACCTCATCCGGTCAATGCGGTGAATCTGCGAAATTCAACCTTTTAGTTTCCCAAGATTCTATGACTAGTTCTCATAGTTTTGCAGATTTAAGGGTGCTAAGGAAGGAAGTGTTCTGCTCGACCGGATTTCGGCTGTTCGACTAAACAGTATAGTGAAAAATGAAAAAAGTAGTAAAGCTCGTAGCTGTCGCTTTGTAGTCTTGAATTAAGTGCACTCCAGCTAAAGTTCGGATGAAGCGAAGGATGAGTTTTACCGAAGACTGTCTAGCCTCCTTCTGAAAGCCAAACGTTCAGATATGGTATTTGTTGCAGGTTATTTTAATACACAAGTGGGTAAGCTAAGTCAGACGAAAATGGACTTTAGGTGGCACATTGAATCACAGCCAAACGAACAGATAACGGTGACCGCCTATGAAAATTGTATTCAGGCAACTTATCGATTTCTGGTCATTACGAACTTCAGACATAAAGAGAGACATTTCCTGACGTGGCGTCCGCCGACCTCAACACTACAGTGGACCATATTACTAACACTCATCGTTGTAGAGAGTCAGCGCAAGATAACCACACCTTCTGCAGCACGTATTCGCACAGTGATCACGCATTGGTTCGAGCGCGCTTACGTCTACATCTAAGGGAACGTAGGGAAACTTTAGCAACAAGACAGTTGCGAGTGCAGCTCGATAATGAGAGCACTAAGGCAGCGGAAAAAAACTCAAATTTAGACAACTGGAGCGATGAGCGGAACACTTTAAATGGCCACCAGTTACTATCCTGTTGTCCGCTATCCAGTCAAATAACGAAACACCAAGATAAGACCCTCAACACTTACAGAATTCAAGGGAGCTCAAAGCGATCTGAAACGAGGAAGAGAAGGGCGGCAGACGGACTGGTTCCGGAAGTATCCAACGACGATTGTAGAGAATTACTGATCAAATTGACCCGAGTGTTAACTGATATATGGGAGCCAAATGGATAGACTTTAAATGATCTCAGTCACTGATTGTCCCAGTCTTCAAGTAATGTAAGAAATCCTGTTTTGATAACTGTAAGGGAATCAGCATGATAAACATATTATCTAAGATTCTAGGTTCTATAGTCATCAGACATCCGAGTGAAGCTTAGCAACAGCAAACCCGAAAAAAAAGCTTCGAACGTGGCTGTCGGCGTATCGATTAGATATCCACACTCCATCAGGTTCTGGAACACAGGCACATTTATCGACTCTCGACACTAACTGTATTTCTTGACCTGAGAGTGGCATTCGACTTCACCAAGTGTGAGGTCTTACGACCACGTCTCTCGCTGATGAAAGGGGTACCGAGTAAGTACATCATTCTGTTGAAGGCTGTGTACTCGAACACTCATTAGCGTTTTAGAGCCCGTGGTGAAGGTTGTCTTTCAAGGATGTCCATTTCCTTCATACTTAATCAATTGTATCACAGACGTTCGTATGGAGATCTCTTTTTCGTTATTCGACTTTACATGGATTGATCTCACCAAAAGAGACGCCTTGGTGGATCTAGAGTATCCAGATGGCAAAGTCCTGTTAGGTGAAGACGTTGACAAGATTCAGAGTTTACTGGACACCTTGAATGACAGTTCTGGAGTGGTTGGGATATACTTTTTACCACCCAAATGTACACCGTTGCTCTAGGATTGGTCTGCGTTGATAACTCACCTAACAACAGGGAGTGAAGTGATTAAGTGCGCTGACCACTTCACTTACTTAGAATGTCGGGTCAGTGACCAACGAAATCCGTGTACTAGTATATCAGGTTCAATTGGCTTTTGCCAACCAACGCCACTTATTCAGCCTTCGTGGTATCTGCTAGCCCCTCGAGGGTCTAGTATACTGTGCTACAGTTCACTCTGTTCTACCGCATGACTATGGGACATAGCCATTAAAAGTGGAAGATTTGAGAAGGCTTCTGGTGTTTGACCAACTTTGTGCTCGTAGCATATGCCGTACGTCGTGGTGTCACCACATCAGTAATGCAGAAGTCAGGTGTAGAGTTCTAAGGAGGAGAGAAAAGTTGATTGGTGAGGTTGTAAACCCTCATCGATTGAAGTGACTGTGAGATGTGTTACACATGCCTGGTCACCATTTAACTCGTCGTACAATGTTAGCTTAGGGAGGTTGAGAACGGACAAAGGTTAAGGGCGGTCAGGATAAAAAATGGCGTCACTATATGATGTCTCCGACCGTTGGTCTGGGTCATGTACAGAAATGTAGACTTCTCGGTTTGGGTCTGTGTGACGACAGAAATGAGTGGTTGGAGACTCTAGGTGATATGACTCAGAATCGATGTCACTGGCGCAGATGTATCCACACATCATCTTCATCTTAATCGTCATACTGAATTCCGTAGATCCATATTCCTCCTTACTATCCTTTACTGCTTTCTACTATTTTTGACTGGTTCTTTTTCATTTCTTTATCTTCCATCTTAGTGCTTTTTTGACTGATGTGCTACTACAAGGTGTGGCAACTTGGACTACCATGCAGTAATATTGATGATGATGATGATGATGATGAAAACTTTAAAAAACTTAGTAATCATCCGCCGACAAATGGTATTATCTTGCAACTGGCCAGTAGTTGGGCATGTTCAGTAACTAGTGCAACAAGAGGGATGAGTTAACAGTAAAATCTCGGTCTAAGGGACTGTAATTTTATGCATGGTTGTTTACCAATGCTAAATAATAAAAATGGGTTAGTAGTCAGTCGGTAAGATATTTCTTATGCCGAATGGCAGAAACAGTTGACACTAGAAAGACATACATCTTTTTCCTTGGCAGCATATGACAAAAGGTAAACAGAATAAATGACCGTGTACGAACAAACTGCTTTGAAAAATTAACTCAACTGTGTTAAAAATATATTCAAAGTGAACAGATGTTACCGGAACTCTGAAGACCAAATCGATAACTTAATGGTTCCGGTTGAAAAAGTTAAACGGAAGCTTTTACACTTCAAGCAGTCAAGAAATATGGATCGTGAAGACACATGTTCAGTTTCCCATAAAGGCATGATCATGATAGGTGTTAACAAAGTGGATACATTAGGAGAACTTTACAGTTATTGATCTAAGATAGTCAAATGACGCAAATGAAAACTTAATTTCTGATGGAAATAGGATGTACACACTCGAAAATTAGATGAGAAAACTATGAAACTATTATGTGTACAACAATGTAAAATTATATACCTAAATGGTGGAGTAATTTGGAGAAAGTATCAGTCTACTGACGTCTATTACTGAAGAAGATGAGTGGTTAGCAACCACTCGCGTTGATCTGCAGATTTTATTAGCTACATCAGAGTAATTCTAACACTGGATGGCCGTTTCGATCGTCCAAGACAGCTCAGCAGCAGAGCAACCAGGTGAATTCAACCTGGGTAGGCGGAGATTACGATAGGACATCGGTTAGTCTAATGATCGTCTCTAGTCATCATAGATGCACTCAGTCAAAAAGTACGTAGACAGCTGTTTACTGAAAACCAGTTGAAAAGCGCACTTTCTGCTTTACTACTCAATGCTATGCCTACATCCACGAGAGCTGGCCATTGCGTCTCCAAAGACTACATTCGGGTCGTGTTTACGTGTCTCTGAGACAGAGTAAACATTTAGGGCTAGAGATTTCATAGTTTTGGCGAGCGATGCTCGCTGTTCGATTTGGCTTAGAGTTCGGACGTTGACAGCTCCTACATGAAATCGATAGCGGAGTCTTACGAGACTGGTAGTGGGGTTTCGATGGCTTTGATCATTGACAATGGTTGCAGAGAGGTTTTGGATTACCAATAACCACTGATGACTGATCTGGGTCACCATAATGCACCATCTGATTGTTTAAGAACATGTTAGGGGTAATTGCTTTTTCTCTAACCAATATCCAACAGACCTTTCTGGTATGGTAGGACTTCAAGGGAACAAGTGTTCCACCAGCATAGCTCGTTGGGTCATCGTGATATACAAGCTCGATCACCACGTCAAGGCAGCAGCTATAGGTTGGGCTAAAAGGTATAGAAAATAAGGAGGCTCTGGAGACTTCCCAACAGTTGGTACTTCCTACCTTCTTTAGAATGGAATTCATTACATTCATGGTAAGCGGAATGATCACCAGCGCTGAGTTAAGTGCGGTTTTCTTTTACTGTCTATTGCAATTGTGGTAGAAACCGAAATCATGACTTTTCAATACAATTTCGAAAAGTCAGACACTGGATATCAAATATTGCTAAGGGGCAGTAAGGTTCTATTAATAAATGTCCTAATCACAATACTTGGTGAGCTTGAATTACATTACAGAGTATGTGTAGTACTAAGCAGTTTTTAACTAGGATGAAACAAGTCCAGTGCCTAATAATTCAGAGTAGAATTCCAACTGGCCTAAGACTCCAAAGAAAGCTATTTCTCCACAACTGACAAGTTCGGGGGCAAAAAACGTAAAACAAATAAACAAACCTTCTTTACTTCCCGTTGATTCATACGACTAGCCACTGAATCGCCAGCATTATTTGTTTGACTCGGTGGGTTTGCTACCTTCTGACTGGCCTGCTTGCCCTGTTTATCTTTGCCTTTCGATTTGGGCAAGGGGAACGCTGCATCCAACAAATGCATAATTTCATCCCATTTGGGTAGGGATTTCCTTAAGCTATTGGCAAAGCTTTTTTCATTGTTTATAGATAAAAGTTGTTCGACTGCGGGTTTCAGATCACCAGGATGTAAACTACCATCAGAAAAATGTTGTTTAAGCAAATCCCATTGGCTAAGTGTAGACGATTTGGAGGTGATATGTAGTGGTCCACCATTTTTCTCCGAACGAGAGATAACCAAAGCCTCTGGGAGAAAAATAAGAAGAAGAAAGATAATGATGCAATATTTTTATTTGTTATACATTTGTTATGAATAGTAACCAATTGTTCACGTTTCATAGAAATGACATTTTAAACATGTTCAAACACACGCCATTATTCATTCATTGTCGATTCAGGATCCGGTAGTAATACTTAATGGTACCAATTTGCCACACTTCATATCAACATACAACACCCGTGAACCAAAATATTACTCATACATTGTTGGTAAAGAATGCGAGCGACGACTTGGAGACTCTGATTTGGAACCTGCATATCTTAAAGGGATAACGTTAGGACCCCCAACTCAACGAAGTTATACGGGTAGCTAATGCACTAATGTACCTCGTCCCGCATTCTTTTCGCTGACGGCTTAGTGTATAAGTGAATGCAAGACTGAAGACTTGTTAATAACTAACTAACACAAGGTTATTGAAACAGTCAGTAAAAGCAAGAAGAACGACGTATGAGTTATATTCATGATAACATACCTCCAGGTTGTAGATCCGGGATCAGCACCCAACGACATATATCCAAAATAGGATTTATATCAATATTATTCGGTTGGCAAAAAGCACGTTTTATACGACGTTTCAATCCAGATAGTGGAAATCTTTCAGTTGATCCTGGAACAGGGGGTTCAACCAAAGGGATGTAATTATCTTCAGCCAAAGCCGCTAATGCTTTAGCTGATGTAGGACCCAAACAACGTGATGCCAGTGAACAAGACTTCATTGCAGGGAATGACATTAGATTAGTTTGATTGTTAGGAGCTTGCAGACTACTAAGCATTGGGTGTGTAAGATGAATAGCATCGAGAGAATTAGGAAAGTAACGCATAAACTGTGAAAGAAAGGAATGTATACAGTTAATTTTTTGATTAACAAAACAATATTTAGACCGTGATCTATGCATCTATGCTAAATAACCATACAAGTTACTTGGCCTATAATTTTTAAAGTATGTGTACATTTATCTAATTCATTTAAAAGGGTGTCAAAAATATGATATTTTGATAGAATCCTACTTATGAAAATGAGGGTTTTCACAAAAAGGGAATAACAGTGCACGGGTTGAGTCTATTTTGTGGGCTGCTATCTATGAGAGTCAGACCTCCTTTAGACGAACCCCGCAAGAAAGATAACTTTTGAAAGCCTAAGAGTGATGGTAAAGTTTATTGATCGTAAAATGCATTAAACTTCATAACAAGTACCTTCTTAAATAACAGTGAACGAAAGAATATAGAGGTGTTTCAAAGAAAATATTATGCAGCAGCACATGGATCGGATCAAGAGAAGTTTCGCTAGTAGTCTTGGTTAGTGATAACGAACAAAGTCACCTAATACAGAAACCATTGTTCTTTAGGAAACTCAAAAAACTGAAACAATCTCATACTAAAACCTATTCCCAGTTACAGTAACTTTAGGAAGGTAAAAGGAATAGCTTAGAAGTCATGATATGACTGGAATCATCAAGTAGACACGTTAAAAGGAACAGATTTCGGAACTATGACAACCACGAAAATCCCTCAATTTTTCTGGATTATTTCCACTCAGTAAATGCTGATTACCTCAATTTAGCATTTCTGCTTTCTTCAATTTACCATTATCAGTAAACGTCAATATATTATTTTCTTATTACAATGTAATTAATGTATTTAACACTAATTGTAATCACAGGGGGAAAATATTTGTGCAGAAGTTTTCACTGTTAACAAACAACACATACCAGTGGAAGTCTTCAAAGAAAATATCATTTCAAACTCACTTTAGACTGAAAAATTTGTCGTTTCTGTGTTCGTATAGGACTAGCGATTCGAACATCAACAGCCAATCGTGTCACATCGACCAAATCTAAACAAGGTAATAGTAATTCACCCAATGTAGAACGAACTGATGTGTCAAGCGTTTCCTCACAATCTAAGTTACTATTCATTTGATCATTTTCACATACGGATAGATCACTTGATATGAGACAATCTGTTTCGGGTACTAAGCTCACCAAACGATAAAAATCTAACATGTATGCACTAAAAAGAGCGGGGGGAAGAGCATTTACAACAAATAAATATGATAAATTGTAGAAATAACATTATGAATTTGCAGAGATTGAAAGAGTTTGACTGTAATAGGTTTCGATGAAGCATAACTTCAGAAAATGCAAAGTATAATATAGGTTACACTTGTTAAGAAGGATGTGAGAAAAACGACTGAATTATTTCGATAGTATTAAATATTCCAGGTTGGATGATTAGAGCGTAGAACTTTATTATACACTATCGTGTTGGGTTTGTTTTCTAAGGATGTTTCATGTAGAAAGTTTCTAAGTGAAAGAAGGCGATAGAGATAAGATACTAAGCCCATCGCTGTAAATCTCCTTTATCAATGCAGAACAAATCCATCTTTGGATTTCACAAGACTAGAAGCAAAAGATATTTAAATACCTGGCCCTTGCAAAGGACAATGTATTGCATAAGTTTAAAAGTTACTTTACATACAGTGAGATTTTTCTTAATAACTATTCTGAATGTATTCCTACTGACAAGAAAGTACATAATCTTTATAGGGTAAATATAGTTGTATTGCATACCAAGGTGAATACAAGAAATACTAATAAATTGTGACAAGGATCGAGATTTGCAAGGTATACAGTATGCTTTCAATCTATGTTATCTTTACTCTGTAAAACTGAATCGCATTCCAGGATACTATTTCTTAATGTATTTCTAACAAGAAGTGATGATGAATTCCTTAAAAGATCCATTTATCGAAAACCTACATGGAATGAAGAGTTGACCGGTTTCTACAGTTGATTTCCTTATTAGCTGGGAAAATATTTTATCTTTCAACTGGAATCTCTTAAACTTGCACATCTGACATATTGGAACTAGAATTTCTGAGGTCTACATTCACGAAAAACGGACACTAAGAAAGGTTTTTTGAAAGAAATATACGCCAGACTAAGGCCCCTGAAAGATACTTTGATTTTGGAATTCAACGGTCACACAGATGACATCCTGAAACATCGATTAACGAAAGCTGTTAAGAGAACATCCTATGCCGCAACTCTAAGATTCACTTACCTATACTAGTCGTCAAGTAATGCAAAGGATAAACTACAACTCCTTCACAATGTGTATACATCATTTTACCTAGTCCTAGGGAGCTAAGTATATAGGCCATATACAGAGAGGTAGACTGTACAATGTCGATAATGACAACCTGAAACGATTCAGTAAGGATTAATTTAGGTCAATCAAAAGCTCCATCCTACATCAGTTAATCGACAGTGAATATACAATTTCCAAAACTTCATTTCGTGCAGTTTGTAGAAACCAGAAGAAGCATTCAAAAAGTTTAAGTAAACGTCTATTATGCTTTGCTGAAACTTTAGTAATGCGGAAGTAGAAGCCAGAATTATGTTTAAAAGCAAATTTCCCATTCATTCTTTTTATTCCCTTATTATTAACAATTTAAATTCTTAAACTAAGATAATTATTTTTGGCATTTGGGTTTTGATTTACTGATTAACAAGTACTGACGTTTTTTATCATTATAAGTGTAAACTAAGTTATTGTTTAAGTGAGACTGTACAGTTTTTGAGAATGGATATGACCAAAAACAAATTTGTTCACTGAAGTCTTTCTTTGCGACCTATACAACTAACAACCGGATATCCATCGACAAAAGAGTAAACAGGTGCGAAACTGAGATCATTTGAACTATGTTGCTATAACATGTAATAGTTGAATACAATAAAGATAAGGTGTCAGGCAATTGTGTACAGATATCGTAATATCATCAGTTTACACAGGTATTACGCAAAATGTGTGTTTCATAGCCTGGCTGATGAATTTTTTTCTTCAAATACTTCAGTTAAGATGGAACTAGGCAGAGTTTGCAATAAGGTTCGACATTTTTTCCTCCAACCATTTCTTTACACAACAAACGATACAAAACAAACAGTAAGCGAATTATATTCTATCAACGTTTATTGTCTACGCTTGACAGAAAATTTGCAGTAAAATTCAATCAATAGGGTATTAATGGTCAAATGAGAAGCTGATAATAAATTTATACCGAAAAAAAGAGTATTTTTAGGCTATGATTTTTTTTGAGAAATAACTTCACTTGAAATTATTTATCAAACGATGTGCACCATTTGTGCTGGTTACAAAGATGGGTTCAAATAAAACAGATTCAGTATGACTTATATGCCCATTGCATTATGAATTCATCTCATTAGCCTTCTCAACTTTGCTTTAAATCTCTGATGATTGATTATTGTTATCATTATTTTTGTTTGGAATAAAAACTTAATACAATATGGGCAGAAAGAGATGCGCTACATAAAATAGTACAGCAAAACTAAAAAGACAGAAAACATGATACAGAAAGAGAAATAAAAAGAACGGAAACTAAGAGATTCATGAGTGATTAGAGAATCAGTCTCAAAGAAGTATTCACTAATTTTGTTTCACTTTTCAGTAATAAAAGAGAAAAAAGGCTGCATCATGATCACCAATACTTTCCTTCTACTTACGGGCGTATCTCCTATTATCATATACCAAAGAGTAATGCCATCTATCAAACCCCATCCAGGAAGTGATTGGGTAACAATAGATGCTAAATTAAAACATCCGTCCTACATCTGGCGGTGCCACTTCATACACTGGTTACCTCTTCGCTTTTTGCAGTCGGTCCCAGAGCAAGCGAACGGTGAACGGTATGGGAACCACTGGGACGACGTGCGTAACTCAATGAATGACGATCTCCATCACGACCAAGCACACATCACCTAAACTCAGAATTGCCTACATGGTGTTTCTATCGGATACGAGAAATCGTGGAGACAACGGTGGTCGAAAATGAAGAGTCTTCGATCATTATCACCACGGAAAGGCCAGGGCTTACAAGTGTTGTATATCCGACCACTTACAACAAAGTTAATGCCATAGTGATATCAAAAAAGACCCAGATTAATATATCCCACTTTGGCTTTTGGTATATGGTTGGAAATCCTATCAGTCACGCCTTCATCAGCACTCATACAAATAATATGTAGACTCATCTACAATTAAGGGTTTGTCAAGGGTGATTATATAGACGGGTTCCTTTCAATCTCGTTGAAGCCCCTTGCACTTTGACGGTGTGAAGTACGTTCCATACTTACGAACACTAGTCGCTAACTGACAGAGCGATCGTGGAAACCTGTATGCTGTCAAGAGATAGGCAACTGTATGTCTTTATTCGATATAAGGTGTTAAAGTAAAGGGCTATCAAGATGTTAACAAACTTATCAGGAACAACGTCTTCTAGCAAACTATTCCAGAGTATAACTCTGTCCAATGAGCCAAGGTAACCTTTATACAACGATCGTTGGCCTGAAATAAGTATGAAGCCATTCAAGCATACGACGAAGAATGAACACATGATCAGTGCATTCATAACGTGAACGAAACTTGGTCTGCTCTTCATGGAACAGATTCTCACACGTTTTGCACAGCTTCCAAATTATGATAGTAGCCAATAGCTTGGACGCTACCGATAGTAAACTGACACACCGATATTCATTACGCATATTACGCAGGCCCTTATAAAAGGTAAGCACAGCAATAGCTTTGTTCCAGAGTGATGGGATACTATCACTCTACTATGCCACTCAAAACAAAAGTAGTCAGTTACATGACTACAGTCTACACTCGATCCTTTAAAAGAAGTAGGGTAAGTTTGCAGAGTCCCGTGCCTTACAGCGCTTTAGAATTTGGAATTCATTACGATTACTAAGTAGATCAATGTCAACTGTCCATGGCGAGTAAGACACTGAAATCGGTGTTGATGGGACAGTAAGCCAGCTGATCTGCTTTTCAAAGTACTCCACCAGTGTTCCGGGTGTCTATGAAAGTTGGTGATTGATATACCATCTACTTCACAGATGGTTTCATTGACACCAGGTTTCTCGCTGCCAGTGGCTCAGATGAGATGGAATAGCTTCAGACCATTTTCACGGGCAGCTGTTACTTCCATCTCACTTGCGCGTTTTGACCACCAGCCCTCATGGTCCTTTAGAAAACACTGTTTGATCTGTCTGTCAGAATACACCGATCAGCGTCAAGGAGTTTCCCGAGACTCAATGTCTACTAGTGGGGAATTCTTTGGAGTTCCAAACAGCTTTACTCGTCGTTTTCATATCTTGCAAGTGCAGCTGATGCTCATCTATACTTTTTAGAAGTCCGAAAGTGAGCCTTAGATCTCGTTCGGTTTGATGTTTATTTGAACTACTAAGTCCAAACCGTTTGCTTAAAACGACTTGATTTTGATGACCACCAAAGTCAAGATGAGCTTGATCAGAGTTTAGAAAGGTTCTCAAGGAGGAGGACTACTTCCAGGTACCACAATGGTGATGACCATGTTGGAAGTTATTTTTGGCTTAAAACAGGTTGTGATCCTCGCAAAGCCCCAGGAGACCTTTTTCATCATCTGACCTGAGACGGATCCATCCCCACTGATCACTTTGAAAACCCTCATTTAAGCCTAGAAGCCCGATCTGTGTACTGAAGTCTTCAGTTAGCACTACTATATCTGTCCAGTGTACGTGGTACAGGTCCATCAGTTGCTAAAAGAACTTATCTTAAACTGCACTCGGGCTGCAGTCAAATGGGATATAGGCAGAGAAGACGAAGAAACATAGTTTCCCCTGTCAAGTACTTCTTACTCTAGTTGAACCTTCCAGCTTAACAACACAGGGACGACTGTTGATGCAGAACCAGTAGCACTATGAATACACTTATTAGTGAACTGACAGGTGGGGTAGTTATTTGGAGAGCTTCACTGGGTCTCTGAGATACAGCTTACATCAAAAGCAAGGTTTTTTGGTGTTAGAAAAACCTGTATGACATGAAACCGCAAGCTACAACGTTGATAATAAATGGTTGGAATGATGGAAAAAACTAAGCACTATCGTATAAAAATATGAAAATTCTATAAAGTCTACGTTGACTTCCATAGACGTGGTCAAAACCCTTGATCAAGTCAGTTTTAATAAACACTTCGATGACAGAGACTTCCACATACAGGTTTCGTAAGCCATTTGTCAATCTTAGTGTTAACGAGTTACATAAGTAATAGTTTGATGAATGTATTCAATAAACCGACTTAACAATCCTACATTATAGTGCTGTTACTTGCCGCCTGGTATTCACATTCACTTACTAAACCGAAAAGCTACTGGTCTCCTCTTTTATATCAACTAGTGTTTTGCACAGAGAATTGGTGAACCAATCAGTCTAAACATCCCCTTTAGATGTCTCTTACACAGCGATTGTTCATTAACATCAGTGGTTAACACTTGGTAAGTACTAACTGATTTGATGAAGGATGAATTGCACTTTGTACAATAGGTACACTAAATGGTTGTCTTTAGATGCTACATCAATATTTTAAACTACTATTTATATTGGGTGGTGATTGTCTAGTTTAATCTGTCAAACTACGGCTATCTCAGTCAAATGATAGACTGTTTATATGCTTAATTATCCGCAACTTGATATATGATGTGAAGCGGCCTAAATCGGAGTCAGCACACTAAAGCAACAGCCGTTTAGGCAGAAGTTTAGGATTCACTGTTACTGTGTAGGCAGGAAAAACCTCATTGGATAACTTTGTCCTTCAGCTGATCAATGAAAGTAAGCGTCCAACCTCTGACCTAGTGGCTTTATATTCTGAGAAAAAACTGTATATAAACGATGTTTTTTGTCAAAAAAAAGTCGTTTTCCTCACAGTCACAGGTCGGTCTTTGTCTTTTGGTTTCCGTCACTGAGTGAAGTATAAGGTTCTGAGTGTGAACAGTCACTATTCGTATCCAGTACAAGTATCGCAACGTGTTATTATCGTTTCACGTACTCAATACTATCCAGTTAGTCACATCAGTATACTTTGTGTTGAATAGGTTATAGAGATGCATTTCACGCGGACAATGTGATGGAGTGGTAATAAATAACCTAGGTAGAGCGGATTCGAACAACCAGTCACCAATTTACCAGTCTAATATCCAATCAGCTGAGTGTATTGATGGCCAAATACTAACTACAATTCAGACCTTCGTTTCATTTCACTTCGCAAACTGTTCCAGGAAACCTGATTTTCAAGCCAAGGTGAATGTTGGTTATATCATTTAATAAGATGAAGCACAAAGTTTCGAATGTCGTAATGGTTAAAATTTTAAAATTTAAATAAAACTGAGTTCTAACCTTTACAAACTTTTTGAATAGAAGAGAAATTCAAAAATCATGATATCAACTTACGAACTCAATTGAAAATCGCTACCTAGGACACAACTAAAACGATCCATACGACCATTAAGAGCAGAAAATATACCATTTAAAATTACACGACAGAATTCACCACGTTGTTTAATCACATCCCATGTAAGTGAACCACGTAAATGAGCTGAGATATTGTTAATTAGTGCAATAATCTATTTCGGTATAGAATAAAATTGCAAAAGAATAGGAATGAATAAAAAAGTAGTTGAAAATGTTAAATTTGTCAAAATAATTAATACATAATAATACTAGATGGAGATTTTCCCATTAATCGAAATCATTGTCAATAAAGTACAGCGTAGTTTGATGGAAGTATATATAGCTTGAGGTTTATGAGGATTTTATTTTTAAGGCAGTATTCACCACAGACTGACATCTGTTGGAGGACCATTGAAAACCTGAGAGCACTAAGCAGCTGTTTTGTCTTAGTCTGGGATTCCTCACCAGCATAACTCACGACCCGCTAGAGATCGAACTCAGGATCGTAGGTCTGTACAGTTGAAGAGTCCCGTACTAGGACAAAATGCCGAAAACATAGCCATGTTAGGTGAAGGGGCTGACAAGATGTATCGTCTATTGGACACCTTGAACGGTAGTTTTGGAACGGTTGGGATGCCTTCCTCACCAACGAGTGTAAATTGTTCCCACAGGACTGGTCTGCGTTGATAACTCGTGTAACAATAGGGAGGGAAGAGATTGAGCGCGTTGATCACTTCACTTACCTGCGTTGTCGAATCAGTCTAGGTGGGTCAGTGACCCATCAAATCTCTGCATGGATACACGAGACTTGATTGAATTTCACCAACTTATGCCATTTATGGCGCCACCATAATGTCCAATTGCCTATTATGCACCGCGTTTATTGCACAGGAGTTCGCTCTCTCCTACTACATATCCATGAAACAATGTCATTAGAAGTGGAGGATAAGGGAAGGCTTCAGGTATTCTATCAGCGTTATCCTCGTAGGATGGGTCGTGTGTCATGGTATCACCATGTCAGCAACGTCGAAGTCAGACGTAGATTTTTCGGTAGAATCAACAGTGTTGTGACCATTCATCGATTCAGCTGACTGGGATATATGTTACGCATGTCTGGTTACCGTCTGTCCGTCGCACAATGTCATTCGAAATATGTTCGAATAAAAGATTGAAGAAGATCAACATAAGACATGATATCAATCCATGAAGTGTTTGATTGTTGGTCTGAGTCGTGTATGTAAAAATAGACCTCCGAGTTGGTTGGCCTGGTGACAAATGAGCTCAGTGGTTGGAGACTAGGCAATATGATTTGGTACCGATGTCAAGGGCGCAGATATATACATACGTTACTCTTATCTTAATCGTCTTACCGGATTTTAGCACTGTTTCATTCATTCTTGTTGTCTTTTGACGACTTCCCATCACTTGTTGGTATTTCTTTCCTTATTTCTGTATCTCGCCTGCTGTGCTCAAATAAGGTACGAAAACTTGGACCGCTACATGGTAACCCCAGGTTTCATGCTGATACTATCTTTATCTCTCTCATTTATTTGTCGAAAGACAATCGGTTCAGAGACTGTGAGCTTATAATCATAAGAAACGAATTTGCTTTAGTGGAATAAAGCAGGTCATGTAAAAAGAATGTAAAGAGATACAGGACTAAAACTTGAGCTCTGTGGTAGATTATACTTCCATTTTGGTCTATCTGTTAGAAATGTCATACAGTGAAACAGTATCATTTACTGGATAACGTTTCGGACATAATCTTTTGACGATATCCATGCCATAACTTTGAGACAGAGTTTACATAGTCTTAATTTCCTCTCCTTTTTGTGATGGCAAGCGTAGTAGAATTTTCCAGATATCTGAGACAGGTGTAGAATCCTTTCCATTGCATTTATCTGGTATTGATTCGATTAGAAAAGATTCAGTTATCAGTTTCTCCCTCCGCCCGACTAAGTTACTTCTTAATACTGTCGCTCTATCCCACCCTCCTGTATGATTGTGTGTGATTACATGCAGAGCTGTACCCGAATTTTTCTCGAAATTTCTTGTCTTATTAGGATCGAGTAATCTTGATTTAGCTAAGCTTTCGTGCTCTGTTATTCTAATCGCCCCTAGTCGACCACTTTGACCTATGTATTTCACGTAGCAATCATTGCAAGGGATTTGGTAAGCTAGATTATTTTGTCTAATTGCATCGATAGGATCTTTCAACCTACCAAGCTTGTTTCTCAGTGAGTTTGTTGGTTTAAATGGCACTTCGATCCCAGCCTTATCGAGAATTATTCGTAATGTTTTTGAGGAGCATTTCTTGTATGGTCACATTGTAGAGGCTTTGAATTCTCTTTTAACCCCATCACTATTATTACTATTAGCACCAGAATTATTATTAATAACACACGTGTTATTACTACTACTGCTAATATTCTTCTTTTGATTTCTTACGAATTTATTTATAAATTTAGGTGGGTAATTATTGAGACGCAGGGTATTCTCGATGTCTAATTTCTTGTCATATATTGTCTGGCCTACTAGTAAGCTTTTTCGTCCCATTACTCAGGCATTTAACTAAGCCTACTTTAACTGAGCTGGAGTGAGATAATTTGAAGTCTAAGTAGCGATTGGAATGGGAAGGTTTCCAATGGATACTAGACTCTAAATTTCCGTCTTGTTTTCGTTTGATCTTGCAATCCAACGTTGCTAGCTCACCTTCATCACTTTCTAAGTCACAGGTAAGTTGGGTTGCGTTCACTACTGAATCTATATGTGCCAAAAACCGATTGATGTGTTCGGATTTTAGTACTGTAAACCCGTCATCTACATATCAAAACCATATCTTTGGAGTAGGACTAAATGTTTTTAGGGCTATCCGTTCCCAACTGTCTATAAGTATGTCTGCAATGATAAGGGATATTGGTGATCCCATAGTAACCCCCTCAGTTTGTTCATATATCTTATTTTGAAACTTAAAAACCGTAGATGTCAGGTACAATCGTACTGCTAGCATAAGCTCCTCGACTGGCATCTTAGTTCGATGCGTAAGCCCATTGTCATCCTTAAGCCCATTTCTAACTGCCCCCAGAGCGATGTCTATCCGTATATTCATATGAAAGCTAGTTATGGAAAAAATAATCATTTTTTCACTCGTATATCATCTAATCTATGCTTTAAGTCATAGGAGTCAGTAAGTCGGGGTTTTGAGTGATTTTTTATTGGGCCTAGCTACCGCTGCTAAAAGAAGAAAGCAGAGCACCTTACAGCAAATTATTTTCAGTAAGAGATGAAATGGAACCCATACTTTTATATAAAGTTTACTATTTCCTTTCCGAAAAATAAGGATACAGACAGTTTGCAACCCATGGCTCAGTATAAGGTCCTCAAGACAAAGCCAAATGCAGATGACATGTAATCTAAGAAGGCACAAGAAACATACCTGGTAACTTCTATAGACTGAAAAAAATATAATGTAAGACAGTGGCAGTATCAAAATGTTTCTTCTACATTTAAAGACACACTTTTGTATCAGCAAGGGTCATCTTTTAACAAACGTCCAAGCAGAAAAAGGAATGGATCTAGCAAAGATAATAACTTATTCAACTTTTTCTTGCGTATTACCAGTCCAACACTCTATCGACTGAGATAAAAGATCCAAATTTTAGCCAAGTTCCAATTTTACTTTTATTTTTTTATTCTTTTTTTTAAAAAAATACAACTTACATAAACACCATCCAAATGTGATAAGCGTGCAAGCGATCTCAATGGGATTGTATGACCAAGATGCGGTAATCCAATCGGTGTAATTGACCATAAACACCGTAAACGATCTGTTTTGGTAAGGCGTTGTTCTAAAAGTGATTTACACCCCTAAGAAACATTTTTCAAAATACACCATAAATACGAGTTGTGACGAAAATGTTAACAATTGCTTTTCATAGCCTACAAAAAGTACTTTTCGCAACAAAAAAAAATATGCACAATAAGCACAGTTTACAAGTAACTGCACACAAATTTTCACATAACAACTCACTCAAATTGTTATGACACTTGTAATTTACCGTTGCCTTACAGGGCTGAATTGCTTGACCCCTGTTGGCAGATGGGCTCCTATGCGGATGGCTCGATAATGCTGAATCTTCATCTTGGTGACTAGCAGAGGAATCTAGGACGCATGTTTCGTCCTACTTGGGACTCAATAGCTGGATGTACCTTCATCCCAGTTAGTTATCTTGTTCTCACTGAGGCTCAAACCCAGTACCTATCACTTCAAACGTCAGAGCGTTATCCACCAAGCCACTGGTGAAGGATAACCACCCCTTGTGCAACAGGTGCAGGTATATCCAGCTGATGAGTCTCAAATAGGGCTCACTCAAATGTTCAGTGACTTTCGACATAATGTGTTTGTGATGACGAATATGTTCATTTGTGTTTAAGGTGCAAATTATTGTCTTATAAAACCATTACATAGTTCATCTTTCCTAATATTGTCCATGAAGGGTTATAACACCACTATAAGCCTTGTATTTGTCAGTAAATGCTTTTACACGAGTTACGTTGAAGGAATGCATAAAACAATATACTTTGGACAAAGACAAATCAATGCAGAAACTAGACGGAGAATTGCATCGACTTAATTTGCCACAATTCACTGTGAATCGAACCCACCTCTCTAGAAACGTGTTTTTATAACAACATTTGTCGATAAGATAAAATGTTTTATGGAATTCTCAGGTGCGTGGATCATCACTTTATGACAGCAGATAAATCTTTTGGTTGACCGTACACTAAATAATTCAATGCTAAAATGACTTCCTAAGATAACTGTAGGTGTTTAACCCAAGAATATGCTAATTATTTTGAGAAGTTGTAGAATACTGAAGTTTGATAATGCACTAAACATAACATCGACATGCAACTCAGCAACCACGTGTACATTCATATAGTAGGCAATGAACCACACCAATTGTGTGAGGGCTAATGATACTGCCTGGTTACCCAGACCTCTGTAGGGGGAGAAGGGTTCCAACCTACGACCTACTAGCTGGAAGTCGAGTATCTAGACCAGTGTGCAACGGCTCTATTCACATAAAACGTTTCGATCGCTATCTTCTTTAATTGAATAAGCAATACATAGAATTATTGACGGTAGATTTCAAGATTAACAGACAGAATACGGAAAACATACTACGAATTCCCTCTCGAACGCATCCAGTAAAGTAGATTTATCAGTAATCTTCGGAATATGATTAATTCTGTCATCAACTTCTTGTAAAACATAAGGCTTCTCAGCTGTAAACATTGTAAGTTCTTCATGACCTAGAATACAAAAAAAGTACGAAGTGAATTTCAGTTTACGGTATAATGTATTAAAGTAGTACTATGGTGATATTTCTCTTTCGGTATGAAACCTCAATTACTATTAAATGGTTTAGGAATTTGAACTTCAACTAGTCAAGGTCAAAATTTTAAATCCTCTTTAACAAAGATCAGGCAAACCTGTTGTAAATATGTATGGGTTTACAGTCAACTAAACGGCTTTTCGTGTGATTGTCATTCACGGTGTTATTACCGATGATTTCAGTCGACATTAATATTATTAACGAAAACGGTTGTCAAAAGACAATAGTACCATTTCTGTTTATCCTAATGAGTTTCAATAACCAGCTGCTGTGCAACATACATTGGATTTTAGCAGATCTAAACTTTACCAGTTGTCTATCCGGAGTTTATAGATGCAAAATGACAATGTACATAAACACTCAATATATAAACAGCAGTCTAGAAAAAGCTCAGCCATCGCTATGCATACAATAGCACACAACTAAACAATAGGGTAGGAGAGCGTAAGTCTTAAAAACTAATATATTTAGGTAGATGTCAAACACTGGGTTTTTCTGCTCATCAAGTCAGCAACTAGTACATGCGATAAGCATAATTCAAGGCCGACTACGAATATATTGAAAGTTGTACTGTCAATAATAAAAAACAATTCAGTGCAGCAGAACTATATAAACTAAGTCAAAAAGTGATGCAACTACCTTATTAAACTGTGCTCGAAACACCATCCAGTACCGTACCAAGTATGAAGCTATACTCAATCGAGGAGTTTAATTTCTACTCTCACATTGAAGTAATCATATCAGTTAGCCCACCACACTTTGAGGTTGTAGGGCCAACTTGTTGTTGACTAGCATTACACTAAACCCATATTATAGGTTTATGGTCTGTTTGGTATCAATTTCTAACAACTAGTTACTTTTTGTACTTCAAAGTTAAGATATTTACCTTGATAGCTTCGCCGAGCAACTGTCTAATAAAAAAGCATTAATACTGACATAAAATGAACACCGAAATTCCCTGAAAAACCTTCACAACCAGTTACTGCATACAGAACATTTTTGAATATGGATATATATATATTGCACATCCTTTGACTTGCCAATAGACTTTTACAGTTTGCCACTTCAAACTGTTTTCAAGTAACCGAGTCATCAAAGGTTAAAGGTCAATATCCAAGAGTTCACAAGTATATCAACTACTCACGTTATATCAAACATCAATAAATAACCAAGTATTAACTTGTCAAGTTTTTAAAGTTAGTTCTGAATTTACATAAGAGGCTAAACAATGAAATATAAGATATGTAATAAAAATAATAATACAACTTGGTGGTGCGTTACAAGTTTGTGTTCAAAGTCATAAAATGTACCTAATGCATTGAAGAATTTTGATTTCAATCCCAGTTACCTGAGGCCATAGTAAGTTGACAAGTCAATGGCCTGAAATCAAAGCTCTACTAGTGGGAATTTAATTTAAATAGACTACAATTTAAACAAGAAATAGACTTACCGGGATAAGCTGCACCTTCTTTTCCCTCCATTGGATATGCATCGCATACAAGTTTTTGAAGAGTAGGATCTTTGAAATCATGCTGGACAGTTTCTAGTAAACCATTTAAGCAATTAGTAACAATAGATCGAAGAGAGTCAGGAGGAATTTTTTTTGCAAGATAATCTTGTTCCACCTGGTTGTAATTATAATAAGGTTTTGGAGTTCGAGGAATCGATAATCCTGTAAAGTAATAAACTTATATTGGACAGTGAGAAAGATGAAGCATTTCATTCATGAAATCAATAGTTGACAAACATTTCAATATCAGTGTTGGACAACGATAGAGTTAAAGAGAGCCTAAATACTAGGTAATTACGGTTGTTTTGGACAGACGACATGAATCCCTTTATCTATAACACTAGAGAAGAAATGGGTGTGACAATATCCGTGAGGCTGCCTCTATTTGATTAGGCACAAATATACATTAACAAAAGTAGTTGTTCAGACATTAATTTGTTAATGAATGAGGGGAAAGCAATATGATTGCTTTTACTGACATTTCGCTATTAGCTTCATCGAAATGGTGGTAAACCAAAATTTACAATGTCGATATGATGACCAAAATTTATCTGCATAAAATTGGATACATTCCTTCCCATATATGAACTTGAACACTACAATAAGGAAAACATAAACATAATGAGATGTCATTTTACTTCGTGGAGTTCTCATAAGCTGTATACAATCTCAATATGTATAACCATACTATATGGCTACCGAGACCTCGCTAGATCCAATCAGGTTCGGACTACTGATGCGAATTTAGAAAGTCGAGCACCGAGGTCAATGAGCCATGGCATTACTAGTATTCAATTGACAAGTCATATGCGGAAATCGTTCAAATTTATCAAATGTTAATTATACATTATCGAAAAAAGTAACGATATGCCAAGAGAAGAAAAGCAGATAATAATTACCTGTCCTAACTGGGACTAATGGGAATACAACATATTTTAAAAAGGCCAATACACCATTGCCTTGTTCAGCTGTCATATTCGGAGGACAAACAGATGAAGATAATTTACTGCTAACTACATCAGGTTGGTCAAGAAGATCAATTTTAGAGTCAGCTTCTGAAGATGACATCTTTGCACCAGTCAATCCTGGAACCATCGGATTCATTAGATGTACTCTTTTCTTATGCCCAAGATGCGGTAAATACTGTATAGGAATATTGATAGTGATCAGATGAAAAACTCGGTCGAAAAAAAATAATAAAACGATAGAAAAAAACAAAGTGCTTTTTCGGAGTTAATACGCTTTGCACAAGAAATCTACATGTTTAATTAGAGCTGCGGAAGAATAGTCATTATGCTTTCAAAAGCTAATAACAATGAGTAAAGAGCCGGAGTAAATTGAACCAACAAAATATCTGCACTCAGGTGATGTATACAATGAATGGAAATGTCGGCAGCAGTTGGATTTGAACCAAAAGTTGACAGACTATCTGTCCTATGTTTTACTGAGTGAGCTACGAGGCATATTTTAAAGATCAAATTTCAATCTAATTTTGATCAAAGTCAATTGCGGTATAAATTACAAGTAAACATTTGTTTGCTTCTCATCGCACTGGATAAGTATTTTTGAAATCCAAATTCAAGCGAACCTAGGTGACTTAGTGAGCTTAACTGAATTCCCTCATAACTACTCAAGCTTACCATATTGTAAAATTTTAGTACGAATAAATAAAAGTTAGGTTAGAAACAATCTTAAAATGATCTGACCAAGGTATGGTATTAATCTATGACGTCTCTGTTGATCTGGAACGTGCTGGAAACTGTAGGCTTCTTGGTTGAGATGCACGAGAAAGCTATGCATACGATGAGGTGTACATACGGACACAATAGGAGTAGACGCCACTGCAACTTATTTCCTTTCAATGTACTTCGTTTGATGCTTTTTAGTCTCTCTTTTCTTCGTCTCTCTCTTTACTTTTTCTATGATTACTATTGTCTTTGTTTTGCTACTTCCCTTTTGAGTTTACCTCGTTGTGAAGATGTGATTTATGAAAACTTGATAATTGTTTTTGTAAACTTATTCGCCTGGAGTATTTGAGTGACTATAAAATAAATTGTCTAGAATATCTTTGTTAGACAAACTCTATATTCAAATGAAAAGCTAATTAAAACGGAATTTCCCCCCCCCTTGCCTTATTAGTAGTAGAGAAATGACAAGTATCGGATAGGTAATCCACCTGTTGTTGGTTTCAAAGTGGTTAACTATCTAAAAATTCTTTCGATTTCATTCATCCACCAAGTATGACTATATTGCTTCCTAAAAGGTGAACGTTATCCTTCGGTTTTAAATGAATCTTGTCAGATAACGGGTTTATGATGTTGATAGTTATTTTCCGCTAGATTATTTAATGAAAGAAAGGGTATATGCATGGTTGATTAAAGGGTAAGTATCCCACTCACTTCAGTCTCAACAAACAGCTAGTATTACTTTCTTTCAGAGAGCAGATGAGTTTAGTACGAATTCTCAAATAGTTACTGAATTATATGGAGTTAATTCACAATAGGAATGTAAGGTAAGCTCTATCAAACCTTCAAGACCAATCATAATCATCAAGATCAACATAGGACCAGACGTTACTGCGTAATGGTCCAAGTTGTCACACCTCATATAGCACACAAAGTAACAAGTCAATAAAATGGAAGATGAAGATAGAAAGAAAAGTCAGTCAAAGGAAGTAGAAGTACAAAGTAGTAAAAGAGAAAGAAGAATAACATGATGAGATTAAGTACAGCGGTTAAGATAAGGATAATGTGCGTATGCATCCGCACCACTGATATCGGTTCTCAGCCCTGTCATCTAGAGTTTTCAACCCCAACCCGTTAGTTTGCATCACCCTACATGGTTCAAACCAACAGTCAAAGACTTCATACATTGATGCCATGTTCTAGTCTGGCCGCCTCGGGTCTTTTTCCAGCCTGAAACTACTTCGGTCAACATTGCGCAATGAGGCAGACGGTGATTAGGCATGCGCAACACACGTCCCAGCCATCTCAGTCGATGAAGGTTCACGATCGCATTAACTATCTTACCTCTCCTGCCTAAAACTCTGTGCCTGACTTCTGCGTAACTCACTTGGTGACACCAAAAAATACGACCAAGGAAACACTGGTCAAACACCTGAAGCCTTCTCATGTCTTCTGCCTCCAATGCCTATGTTTCACAGCCATAGAGTAGAGAACCAAGTGGACTCCAACACAGCACGCTAGGATCTTAATAGGCAACCGCGGATCGTGGTGGCGCCACAGGTGGCGTAATTTGGCAAAAGCCAACCGAGCCCTTTATATCCATGCAGAGATTTCGTCCGCCATCGACCCACCAGGGCTGATCCAACTTCCCAGTTTCAAGATCAGTAATTAATGAAGGATACTGTACTGTGTGTCAATGACAGTGAAACACAACTGAAAGCAACACGATGTTGACATCCAGTTTCTCAAAGCATGAGGCAAACTGGTATTATGAGTCTCAAACAAAACTTTTGTCTTGAGTACCGGTAGATAGATGTGCTAAATAGTCAAAAGAAAGCACAAACAGTCAGTCGATATCGAAATGCGACCCAGCGTCACTGCGCAATCCATATGTTGTATGAATATTATTGTGATAAGCAATGGTTTCAACTGGCTGACAATGATGTAAAGTGTAAAGAGATTTGAAAAGTTTTCAGAAAAAAACAAAACTCTGAAATGTGGTGATTGTGGTAAAGTGGAGGATATTATGTGCTAGGACATCAAACAGTTCTTACTACTACAGGATATGTGCTCGCTGCTAAGACTTTCCTGACTAAGTAAGCACAAGAAAGTAAAAAATAACGTAAAGAATTCGCTCACAATCATCAATTTATCCCAATAGATTTTACTAATTCATTGGCAGCTAGCTAACCAAGTAAATGTCGATATGATTCGGCCCTACTTTATAACGGTTCACATTGTCATACTTTACATCACCACCCTGGGATACAAGTCAGTAAGATGAAAATCAAAGAAATGAAACATTATCACAGAAAGCATAGAACTATAGAGCGGATGGACTACAAGAAACAATAAAATAACGGTTGAAATGATAAGATGTGTGTGCATCTAAGTCACTGCAGCCAACTTTAAGTTACATCGCCTAGAGTCCCTGAACATCGGTTTCCGTTGTATCATCGACCTCAACTTGGAAACTGACACCTCTCTCCGAAACTCATCCGAATAATCAGGGGCTTCATGAATTGATGTCATGCTTTAGTCTGACCACCCTCAACCTTATTCATTCTGGAGTAACCCCTACTTCAGCCAACATTGAGCGTAGGAGTAGATGGGTAGAGAGTAAACATATTCAACTAACAGCTGTACACACACAACGCAGGAAACAAGTAAATAGAGTCGGTACAGTTTCAAGACAGCATATAAGTCTTAAAAAGAGTAAATCTGTATGTCAAAATGCTCACTTGCATAAACACTAACACTGGGATACTTAAAAATATTGTATACATTCATAAGATTGTATTTTGCAAAGAAGCATATTGCAGGAGGATGTTGATATGAATTAGCTGGGTAATTGGGATTAAAGTGATCCCATGAGCCCCAATCATGTATAATGGCTACCATGTACGATTTTAGTCTATGGTTTTTGCACTACGCGAAGATAGACAGTTCGAAACGAATTGAAATTCGCTCAGCAATTACATACACGTTAGCGTGGTAGCCAATGAGTTACATCCATTTCTTGGCTGCCCAAACCTTAGTAGGTGGAGCTGAGTCCGAAACCCTATCCCGACGGTAGAAAATAAGGTGCCTAGACCAATGAGTCATAGCTCCTCGTTTACAAGCAGTATGGAGTTAACTGATAGGTGTTACATTTCGGGTTACTTACAAACTGATACTCATTAGCAAGGTCTATTTGTAGACTCAGTACAATGCATACTTCTTCAAAGACTTGAACTCGTGTACATATTGCTCGAGTAAGATTATTTGAGCTGAATTGATAAAGCTCTACAAGAGATGCTCGGAGAAGAATAATGACATTACGACTCGAAGCAGCAGTTTATGTGGTCTTCTCAAACACCCCAAAAGCAGGAACCAAACAATACCATTAAGCAATATAGAGTGACAACCATCCAATTTTATTGGTGGGTGTTCGTCTCACTCCCCACTTGGTTGACGTTATAGTTCACGACTTTTACATTCAAATCAGTAAATCCTGGCAAACCAAAAATTGCATATTATCACTTGATTATATAGTCAGTGCAAACGAAGAATACAAGCTTACCTTTTCCGCCAACATGAATATCTTTCGTTGATCTACACCACCGAATTGAGCATCCACGTTTAAATGGATTTCATCTAGTGCTTGCAACAGGGGATATAACAATCCAGATACCAGAGGATTAGTCACTTGTTTAACAACTTCTGCACCAGCTTTACGAGCATCATGTACTGATGTTAGTGCTATTAGACGATATACATCAATTGAGTATTCTCTGAATGGTTTTTAGTATAAACAAAACGAACTATTGATACCAAAGTAATTTTTCGATTCAAAATCACTTTTAAGAAGTTATTACACCTACATATTGACAAGAAAAAGATAAGCCAACGAACCACAGTTCCTGTTGAGCACTTAACTCTGAAGTAATGAGTACTGGGTTCGAATCCCGTTTCGCCTACTTCAATCTAGGTAACCGGATAGCATCATAAGTCCTCACATATTATATGTGACTTATAGCATAGTACACAAACCTGTACAGGATAAGTTTGTTACCCTAAATTTTATCAATTAGTTAAGCTTAATATCAGTCTGAGGACAGTTTTGTCTTGAAAAAACCCTTACCGTTAAGGTGACTACTGCAAAGCTACAGTGAAATGCGTAGTACACCTTTACAAATTCACAACTGCTATTAATTGTCCTCATACCTATGTAGTAATACACAGATAGATATCAATAACGCAGGACGTGATATGACTGTCGACTCCAGTTACGATTGTTTATCTCCAGACGATAGGGGAAAATTAACAAGAGGGAAAACAGCAATCAGCAATCAGGAGAAAAACGATAAGGTAGAAAAGTTAACCAAGGAAGTTTGCATTTACAACTACAGTCTTCAAAACTTAGATGGTGCAGATGTATTTGTGTTACTGACTAATTCTGAGCCATATCGCCTGAGCTCATCTTTGCTATCGATTTTGGTTGTCCAATGGACTTGGGTCAGAAACCGTATACTCCTCTAAATAGTTCAAAGCATAAACAAAGCTACAAAACGTAAAATACAACCACTATATTAAGTTGTGAAAGAAAGACCATGACGAACATCCCTGCAGAATATTGAGGTGAAGGATGAATTAAGTTGTGAGCCACACTTACTTTAAAAGGGATAATGAAGTGATCACGGCGGCCTGCTTGAAATTTGGGCTACCTCTTTTTTACATGTGATATATTGCATTAATTTTTTTCCTTTCTACATCGTTTTAATCATTCAATTATATCGTCACATCGTATCATATACTCTCGAACATTTATGAAATCCCTAAATTAAGAAAAAGCATCATAGTGGATAGCAACGGGCTCTCAAGTGTATGACCATAGATCAAATGACTTACTTAGCACAAACTGCAGGTCATTACTGAAGAAAGTTGGTCACCTGCAGTCACTCTTATTCACAAATCTTCATCAGAATACTGGTGTAATAATGCTGCAGGTAATATGGCTTCATAACCTGTATGATGAAGATTTCGTTAGTCTGAATGGTTTCAAGTTATTTCGGTAAGATCGATGCTTTCCCAAGAAGAAATATGGTGTGGGTGTAGAAACTTTTATCAACACAAACTGGTCCGCCTCCGACTATGTATGTTTAAGCTTCTCTAACGAAACAATGGAGTGCATTACCAACAAATGTTGTCCTAAACATTTGAGTAAATACAAACACACATAACAAGCATCTATGTCATACCTGACTATAATTTCTCTGATCTGTCAACTTTTGTTGACACCGAATTTGCTGATCCAATTCTGAGAAACTGTTTCTATAGTCTGTGGAGATTTTAACTCATATAACTGCAGTTTCCTTATATCGTTGATTCATGAAAATATGGTCAACTTTTCTACTCATCTTGACAACATGCTAGAATTAGTATTTACAAACGACTCTAACATAAATGAAACTCGTACACTCCAATGCTGGTTCCTGACCACTGTGTTGTATGTATTTTGCCTAAAGTGTACGGCAAATTACACAGGAAGGCTCTCGGATATCTTTCCAAGAAAGTCCAGTACAGATGTTATTCACAGAACAAACTACGTTTAAGAAGCATGCTTAGAGAAACAGACACGGATATATTTGTTAATGAAGTTTTAGACAACACTATCTTTAATATAACGAGCTATTTCAGATTCTGTCGCCATATTCGATACCCTGCTGAAATAATCTACATAAGATTTGAAAGACTTTCTTCTCCTCATCTAAAGAAGCTCCAGAGAGAAAAGAAAAGGTTGTTTAGAGTGAGAGAGAACCCTGGTAGTAAAAGACTTAACTGCCTAATTAATTCTGAAATACAACGTCTAAATACTATGTACAAACAGAAATTCCCGTTTTGTAAGAACTTTTTTAATATATGAAAATTATTCAAAGAGCTTACTGGTAGAAAACAGATAACAAAAAAGCTTGTTTGGATGTCTGTGCATTAAACTGATCATTTATGCATCGACAAGCTGACTTCATCCTGACTAGTGTTCATGGTCAAATGGATAACTGATTTCTTTGTTTTTATAAATGATGTATTTATATGTCTCAAATCCATGAACCAATCTCAAACCCTAAGTCCAGATGATGTTTCGAGTAACTTATTTAGAAGATATGTAGACACCTTACGTCATCCCCTTACAGATATCTTCAATGCATCGTTTTCCAAAAATACAATACCCATTCCTTCGAAGGAGATCAAAGTTCCACCTGTGCCTAAATCATCTTCTGGATCAGGTGTCAAGATTCAACCCATCGCTATAACTTCCCATTCTTGAAGACAATGGAGAAATTACTTCTCCTTGTGCTTGAACCTTCCTCAAAGGTTTTCAGAGATCC